CGCCTGCGGGCGGGTGTCCCCTCGCAGCCCCCTCACGCACCCGCCCTGGGCGCCCCCCGGGTGCGTGTCCCCTCACGGCTCCTCCTGCGCCCTGTGTAGATGCCCCCCGGGGGGGCGTCCCCTCACGCACCCTCCGTGGGTGCCCCCCAGGTGGGTGTCCCCTCAGGCACCTTCTGTAGGCGCTCCGCAGCGAGCGTCCCTTTGGGCCCCCTCGCTGCCGTTGTGGGTGCCCCCTGAGGCAGGGGTCCCCTCGCACCCGCTGTGGGTGTCCTCACGTCTCCCCTCGCACCCTCTGTGGGTGCCCCCTCAGGGCCCGCACCCCTGTGTGGGTGCCCTGGCCCCAGGCAGTGCTGGGGTGGGAAAGTCCATCCCAGTCCCGTGTAATCCTGGCGGGATGGCTGCAGTCCCTGTGTGGGGCAGGGAAGGCACCTGATCCTTTCCTGGAAACTGTGGAAATAGGTTAATAGGAAATAAGTTGAATTTTTATTTTTTTTTTAATGAAGCTGGGAGCTTAAGTGTGTTAATTGCCTTTCTTCAGGATAATTAGTTATTCTAATTTCTCTCTTTTTGATTCTTAGCTGCTTATTAGAAGGAAAAATGATTTTAATTTATTTTTTGCCCTAGCAAACGTGTTGGAGGCTATGTTAGAAAGGGTTGTGGGTTCATTCGTGTGTTTCTGAAAGTTTGGGGTTCAGGCACGTGTCGTAGTTGACGAGCAGTGGGGAGCACTGGGTGTTAGGGGTGCCCCTAGAGCAGAGACCCAAACCACCTTCGGCTGACCAAAGGTGGAAGTTAAAGCAGCCGGTGTTGGGTTGCTCCAGGTGCCAGCTGGCAGGGAGAGATGTTCCTCGTTGCCACGCTTCATTTAAATTCTGCAGGAAGGCTGCTTTGAGACGGATCGCTGAGGAAAAGCAGAATCAGGAATATTTGTTCAGAGTTTAGGTTAAAATGTGCTCTGTTGAGATGTCCTGCGGCAGAGAACCAGCAAACGCAGCGGCAAAAGTGTTATCAGTGTTGTGTCCAGAGCTAACCACTCCTCAGATGTCTTTTGAGGGGTGTGCAGGCTCACCCTGCCTTGGTCAGTAAGATTTCAAGAATATTTTGCTAACAACATGGCAATAAAAGTGCTCCCGGAGCACGGGTCCTGGAAGAATTTTGACAAAAGCATTTGTCATGTTCTTTCTTGGAAGCACCATGCTCTTTTTTAAAAAGTGAGAAGGAATTGTCTTCTGTTATCTTAGAGGCAAACAAACACAAGTTTTAAAGAGTTAAGAGTCATTAATTCTCTAAAATATTTATCGCCACTGATTAATTTGAAACCAGAACTAGAGAATAATTGACAAGGGCAAGGTCGGAGAGGGTTCAGAGGCAGAAGCGTGTCTCTAGGGCAGTGGAGTCCAGTGCCACACGGTGTGCAGGGCTCGCTGGGTTTGGGGAGGGGGGAGATGGCACATTGAAGAACCACCCAGCTGCTGGAGGCTTTTTTTGGGGCTGCTCTGTGTGTTGTGTCAGCCAGCTCCTGCTTTGATCCCACTAAATGATGCTGCAGGTGAAACCTTCAATTACAGGATGGTGTGGAAGCTGTGAACGTTTTGGGGTGTTACTAGCATTCTCTCAATGGCTTTTTTTCACTACTCCACCACAAAGAGCTTCATTCTGTTTGGGTTTTCTACTGTAATACAAAGAATTGTTCATAATCTTCATCCTGCTTTTGCAGACTTCTCAAGGTTTGTGTTTACCAAGAGCATTTATCCTGCAGGGTTATCCTTTTATCCTCAGGGTTATTGCTGTAGAGTAGATTTCAGGACGAGGGGCAACAAGCATGAACTGGAACCCAAGAGGTTCCATCTGAACAGAAGGAAAAGATTCTTTGGTGTGAGGGTGCCTGAGCCTGGAACAGGCTGCCTAGAAAGGGGTTGTAGAGTCTCCTTCTCTGGAGAGATTCCAAACCCATTTGGATGTGACCCTGGGCACCCTGCTGTGGGTGAGCTGCTGGAGCAGGGGGGCTGGATGAGGTGATCCCAGAGGTCCCTTCCAGCCCCAGCATGCTGGGATCCTGTGGAATAAGCTCTGTTTCCCTCTCTTTGAGCTGCCCCACGTCCCTCTGTCATGCACTCAGTGCTAAGCTGGTGGAAGCAGTCATGGGCTAGAGGGTGAGTCCATGCTAACACAGTAACTCTGCTCTTGGAATAAGAGTTGGTTTGTGTTCCACCACCTCAGGTCATGGGCAAGCTTCACATTTGCCCGTTACGTACCACATGGACATAGCCAACATTGTTTTTGTTGTAAAACTGGACATAGCCAACATTGTTTTCTTTGTAAGAGTGAAATGCTGAGCTATGCATGGCAGGAGTTCTTTAAAAAGAGCAATTATGCCAAAGGAAACACAGGGAGCAGAATACTTTGGAGGGTTTTCTACTCCCACCAATTCCACGTGTATTAGGAAAGTTTCTCTTACAATTGTTCTTTATCTCTGGCCACAAATTTCACTGCAAGAACACTCAGCTGGTGTTCACACAGGAGGGGATCGCACATGCCTGGGCACTGAGCTCCCTCCAGAGTGGTGCTTTGTGGGTCTCGTTGGTGCATGGTTATTCAGGAGTGCACAAAAGAGTGTGACCTTCCTGGAAAGTGCAGGAAGAGCTTCGGAAGTGAAGATAATTACCTCAGTTGGGTGATGGTTGTGCTAGAAAATACTGGAAACCACAAATGAGGAGTGCTCTGTCTGCTCCCTAATGGCAGCAGTGACCGAGTTCCCTGTTAGAGTGGTGGTGAGGAGTAACTCTTGTGATTATCTGTATCTCAGGAAGCCTGAGCATTAATAATTCACAACTTATGTTACCAGTATCATTACATGGAACTTCTGCTAGAAGGTAAATGCATAATAAAAAATATTCTCCTCTTTCTTGTTGCAGGATGGAAGAGAGACGTGTCTGACAAACCGTTCCGCTGTGGACTTGGCTGTTGTCTGCTAGAATGTTCCTTATGAATGCTTCTCCTCTGGTAGCTCTTCAGACAAAATGGGAGTCCTTTGGACCAGCAAGGAGTTGTAGATACCCCGTGTGCTTCTCTGAATCCGAAGAGGACATCGCTAGGACCTCTGTCAGCGCCAAAGTTCAGATGATTATAAACAACCTGCAAAGCCAAGAGTCTCCCCTGGGTATGAACAATGAGTATGATTGTATTATGCAGAAGAAACCAAAGGGAGAGAAGGGCACTGGTAACACAGTCGCATCTGGCACCACGTTGCTACAGAAGCATCCTCAATATACCAAGTGTGGGTGCCCAGCTGAGTCAGACACTGGAGTGGGACAGAACGTGGGGTTTGGGCCTATCTTGCTCGATTCTGACAGCGACGATTCTGTCGATCGAGGTATAGAGGAAGCCATCCAAGAGTACCTGAAAGCAAAAAGCAAAAGTGACCAGTCCTTGCAAAGGAATGCAGAGTGTTCTGAAAATGTAAGCCGAGAGAAAAGGTTTAAGAGAGAATTCTCCCGGAGCAAAATGGCTGGTAACCTCCTCCCTGTGAAATTTCAGGCCGAGATGCTCTCTGAAGAGTACCTGTCTGACCACCTGGGCATTGGCAAAAGGCTGCAGCCTGCTTCCCCCCAGAGCATCAGCAGTGATGACTCTTTTGAACAGAGCATCCAAGCTGAAATAGTGCAGTTCCTGAATGAGAAGAAGCAGCAGGAAATCAGTAAGTGTGTGATTGAGGAGGAGAAGAAAGATTCTCACGTTCCGTCTCTCCTAAAATGCAACAAAGAAACAGCAAACAAACCCAACTGTGGTGCTGTAAAGGAAGGTTGTGACGCACTCCTCTTGAGACACCACCCCAAGCTGCAGAAGAGCAGCACGCAGGCCAAGTGTTTGCAGCCTAAAATCCAGGAAGAGCCTCGTGATATCAGCCAGGTGAACCGAGCGTATCTAGAAGTGGCCACTGCCAGCCAGCCCTGGCTGGTGGAGCAAAACGAAGAAGCTGATGCCTGGGAGACCAGGGGAGGACTTCCCAAGGACAGCATGCTGACGTCTGACTCGAGCAGTGACGATGGCATTGAAGAAGCCATTCAGCTTTATCAGCTGGAGAAGATCAGGAAGGAGGCGGGTCATGCAACAGGCTGTGTCCCTCTGCAGAGGGACCGCCTTGATGGGAAGGGGGTGGCAGATATGGCTGCAAGCCTGACAGTTAGCTCAACAAGTGCCTCGCCAGAAATCCATAAAAGCCCTCTCAGCAACAAGAGAAAAGAAACTAATTCAAAGCCAGCAGGGTTAGAGAGCACCAGCGATGAATTTAAGAAGCTGTTTAAACCACTGAAAAAAGCCAGACATTTTGCACCTCCAGAAAACAAGCTTGCTGCTTGTGAGCTCACGTTGCAGGCCTCATGCAGAGCAGACACATCTGCAGAACTCATGTGTGCCGAAGCTATCCTTGATATTTCCAAAACAATCATGCCATCCCAAATGGGGAGTGACAGCAAATCCCTCGCTGCAGACTCCTTCTTTTCTCCCCAGCTTCTCTCCTCCTCTCGTTGTGAAAGCGACAGCAGCCTCGTGGACAGTGATGATAGCATAGAGCAGGAAATCAGGGCTTTTTTGGCTCTGAAAGCACAGTCAGAAGGCCTTGGAACAAAGCCTCCCAGCCTGTCACACTCAATCCAGATGCCTTCGGATCAGAACAGCCTCACGGATACCCTTGAGCCTTCTCTTCCAAAAACACTGAAGCTGTCACTGACTCGTAAAAGGAGACTTAAAAGGGAAGGTGGAATAGTGAAACAAGGTGCATCAAAGCCACCTGAACAGCTGGAGACGGGACTTTTCCAGGCAGGTAACTACTCAAAAGTTCCTGTGCTCCAGGAGGAGCGTGCCCTGAGCAGCCCAGCAGCACTCTGTGATGCTCAGGGGCTCAGGAACAAAGAGCCTGGGCAGCAGCAGCAGCAGCTGGCACCTTCCAGACTGCCTGGATCTGATGGCACGTGTGCAGCCTTGGACTCTGGAAACCCCTTTGTGCAGGTTCGGAGCAGTGTAAAAAATATTACAAAAAATGCCATCCCAGCTGGAGAGGGGGATGGTTCAGCTGATGAGAGCAGTTCTCTGGATAGTGATGAGGACCTTGATAGTGCTATCAAGGACCTTTTAAGGTCTAAAAGGAAATTAAAGAGGAAGCCCAAGGACCAGAAATCTCACTGCAAGAAGAGAGCCAGATTTATCCAGACGGCAACTCAGCTGGTGGATGAATTTAGCAGCCTCCAACAAAATGAGTGGAAAGGTAAAAATCCCATGCTGCTGAAAAGCAGCCTCTCCAAACCTAGAAAACCCATCAAAGAGAATGCAAGCAGAAATCCCTCAGACACCCTCAATGTCAAACTTACCCATGAAAAACCAGAAACTGTGAAGAGCTTAGAGTTTAACTTGCAGCTTAAAAAAGGATACAAACCTAAACCAGCTTCAAACCAGCACAACCTGCAGGTAGCTAAAGCCAGAAAAAGTACTTTCCCAGCAGCATCAGATGCTGATGACAGCAGTTCCGTGGACAGTGATGACAGCATTGAACAAGAAATCAGGAAGTTTTTGGCAGAAAAGGCTAAAGAGTCTGGAAGCAATTCGGAGACACAAAAAGATGATGCAACTCTGGACCTGTTGAGAGGGACCAAACAAACTGCTAATAAAGGAAAAGCAAAGCAACAGCCAGTTGAAAATGAGCTTGACCTCACGCTGGGTCAGAGTAAGAGGAGTGAGGTATCTCAGCAACCTGAGGAGCTGAAGAACTCTGAGAAAACGGGAGGGAGAAGTGCAATGTTACATGGCAGGAGGAAATCTGCTTCCTCTGCAGAGAATGTTAGTCTTCATACTACTGGTCAGTCAAAAGCTAAGCAAGGAGTGGTGGGGGTTAAAGGTGTGGCTGGTGGTGAGTTACCTGGAAACCCCACGGGTAAAAGGGGTGTTCCTAACACAGAGCCCGTGCAGAAAACACTTCCACCTAAAGCCAGCAAACACGAAGGCTGTAAAGGACAAAAAGTAATAAATGTGAAGTCTAGAGCTAAAAGAAAGAATACCTTTCACCTCAAAATTTCCAGTAAATTTATTGCAGGTCTAAAATACGCCCGGGACAGGAAGAAGTCCATGCTTCTGAGCAAGAGGCAGAAAGCAGAGCACTTGCTGGCCCAGAGCAGGACGTTGGGAGCAGAGGGGGTGTCCCAGGGTACAGACGTGCTTCACCAGGGACAAGGAGCCCCCTCACCAAAAGGTGAATTTAGTGGGGAGAGTGTGACAGCAATCAAAGAATCCAGCTCCTCCCAGGAGCTCACTGTGGAGGGGTCGAGTCCCCGTGTAGCAGGAGGCTGTGACAGGCTGGAGGGCCCCCCGTGGTGTGCCAGGGAGGCAGCAGAGGGTTCCAGGAGTGCTTCTGGAGACCAGTCAGACTCACAGCTGAGTCTCCCCTTGCAGGAGCAGAGTGTGGCAGCACTAAATGTAGATAAGGTTTGCAGAGGAACATCCCAAGCTGAGAACACACAGATGTGCAGCGAGGAAGATCTCCCCAGAGAGAGAGGGGCCAACCCAAACGTAGATCCCCCACGCCCTGAACGTGGCAGGGCAGTGGTGGGGGCAGATAAAGTCAGCAGAGACACATCCCCACAGAGTACACACGTGTGCAGAAGGGGAGAGGGCAGCCAGGATGGGAGCCCAGAGCCCAGGTTAGGTTGCCTGGTGGATAAAAGTAGTGGAGGAGCCTGTACAGATAATATACAGATGTGCATTAAGAAGGAAAACGTTCTGTGCCAGAACAGTGACAGGCAGGAAGAAATTCAGGCATCCAGCCCTACTTTGGAAAGAGAATTACCTGTCCTGCAGAGTAGGGAGACTGCTTGTGGAGTGGACAGAGGGCAGGAAGTTTTAGACAAATCCTGTGCAAAACATACTGAGGTACCTGCAGGGGACTGCCCAGATTCCCTCTTGAAAAGAAACGTTTCAAATCTGTAAGTACATTTTTTTTATCATAAGCCTTTTTAGAAAATAACTATTGTTGTAATCACTCTGATAAAACTGGAGGTGTGGAAGGAGAGGCAGTGGGAGGTGCTGACACCTGTACAGCATGGACACACTCCTGTGAAAGAGGCTTTTGTGTGCCAGGGATGTCATGGATAAACACACGTAGGTTTTTTGTAGAATTTTGTAAATTATTTAAAGTGCTCTAAGGAAATATTTTTTATAATGATTTTTAGGCTGGCGTTACTACAGAGTGCTGTAGTTCCTGTAGATAAGATGATCCTGGCTAATCAGGCTTTAAATTATGAGGCCTGTAATCATCTGTCAGAAGGAGAAACCTGTTTGCACACACAGAATATTGGGCAACCTGCTCGGAGATCCTGGGAAGGCAGCACGTGGTGGCAGCACTCTGCTTTTGGAGCAGGTTACCTGGCACCTGCCCGTGTTGGAGCTGCCTGGGGACAATCCTGCTGGCTGCTGGGGTCCTGGTGCTCCCACCCTGGGGAGTGCTGGGTGGGTGGAGATCCCCCTGTGAAGAGGTGGGTGCAGAGTCGGGTGAATAAAGCAGATTGGGCTGTCTGCATGGCCTGTGTGATCTCAGCAGCTGCTGAAAGAACCTTCTGAGGACCTGAAACCTCCTGCTGGCAGATGGTTCCAAGCACAATTGCAGCTGGAGAAGAGGGAAGGAGTGTGTCTGCTCAGACAAGAGGATTTGGGTGGGTTTCACTGGATTCCTGTGCTGCTGGGCCTGCAAGGCTGAAACGACTCCTCGTGACTCTGCAGTCTCATTTTGCTGCCCTGCAGTTACCCAGAGGTGACTTTTGGTTTCCTGAATAAACTTTCTCCAGTCGAGTGCCCTTACTTTCCTTTTTCAAAAGTGGTTTCTAAAAGGTTACAGTTCTGTGAACTCCTGTTTTCATTTACAATTCCTGTGCAATAGAACAAAGCTAGGGTTGCTGTAGGAACTCCCTAACCTAAGAGCCAAGGATATTTTCAGCACTGTTCTTTCATACTGGTAGTGCTTTCTGTGCCTCTGTTTCCAGCAGCCAGAATAAAGCAATTTTTCACTACTATCTTTTTTTTTGTACTAACTTTCAATGGGTTTGAAGTAACATGTTCAGATACAACAACAAAAACAAGTGCCCCCACGCTGGCTTCACTGAAAAACCCAAAACCTGTGAACTGAAGCTGTTGTCTGGTTCTTTCCTTTTCCTTTGTGTGTGGTGAAGTCTTCTGAGCAGTTTGTTCTGACATCTTGTCCCTGGGAGTTGATGGGATGGTCTCTTCATGGAGTTGTCTGCAGGACCTCTCTCATCCAGACGGCCACTCTGTGTCCCTTCCTTTCCCAGCCCCTTCAGCTCTCTGCCTGCAGCCTGCCTTTGGGAGCAGAAGCAGACAAAAAAGGCTCTGGCCCTGTGGTGCTCCCTGGAGTGGCCACATTTGCAGCATGTTGGCAAGTGTAGAGTAGAAGGAGTAACCCTGGTGTGTAGAGAAGGAAACCAGCAGCCTTTGTGTGTTTATACTGTTGTGCAGTTCCATTTTAAACATGTTTCTAGTGGTCACTCGACATTTCCTACTCTCCAGCCACCTTTTTGTAGTCCTGGGATGGGTGGGTTGGTTTGTTTAAAAAATAATTAGGCTAGAGCCTCTCTTTTGTGGTAGGATACCTTGGAGAAGTGGGTTTTTTTACTTCCCTCACGTGGCTGCAGTCAGTCTCCCCAGGCTTGTATTTTTGTCTGCCTTGATTGGGTTGCAGGATTTGGGCCTTTTGTTTGGAAATAGGTAACTAGGCTGGTATTTTAAAATAGAAGTTTTCTGAGTACCTTGCTTTAAAAGGACTAAACTGTCTACTTAATTGTACTAGAGCTGATGGAAGCACTGTGTACTGTTTGTATAAAACAAGCTGAATGTTTCTCCTCAAAATGTCCAGTAAATCCCCATGAAGACTTGCAAGGTGCCCTGTGCCCCCTCCACGTGTCTGTGTCCTCACTCCTGCTCGTGGACTGATGCAGTGAAGATGCAATTCCAGTTCCCTTGTGCTTTAAATAACATTTCAAACAGCACTTTTTTTTAAAACTGATGACTTGATTTGTATATAGGAAACGATGTACATGGATGAGTTTATAATGTTTAATAAATGGGCTTCTGGCCATGGGCCGTGGAACCAGAGTGCTGCTGTGCTTTGTGTCATTGTCTTCAGCCAGTGGTGTTTTCCTGCTGGCTTTTTATCCCTTCTGACTGTGGCCTGAAGGTGTAATTTGTAAGTGATTTGAAGGTGCAATCCCTGTGCAGCAGCAATGTGTGTGTGTGTGAAGGATGCCACCCTTGCAGATGACTTGTGTTAGCTGACCTGGGGACAGGATCTTGGTTCCTCTGCTGCTCTTTCTCTCCAGCCACCCGTGGCTGAGGCTGCAGACTCCTGGGTGTGATCTCCTTGTGACTCTCAAACAGAACCCAGGCCCTTCAGTGTGTGGCTCATTAAAGGGAGTGTTGTTCTTAACAACAAAATAAGGAAGGAGAATCTACAAAATACATAGGCAAAAAAAAAAAGTTGGATTTGATCTTAAAGGTCTTTTCCAGTCAAATTTTTTTTATTAATCAATATTTTGTGGCAGTGGCTATTTTCTGTGCTTCAGGAGGGACCCTCTTTGAGGATCCTCAGGGGATCACAAGGATTACTAGCATTGCTTTGATTTTTTCAGACCTTTAAGAACTGTGGCTTGGCTGGGTTTGATAGAACAGCCTCCTGTCATGGGATCTGCAAATCTGGAAATAGCACTTCCAAAATGGTATTTTGAATTTGTAGAGTGCCCCAGGATAGATGAGGGTGAGGTGAGGTACACCGAGTGCTAAACTCTTCAGAAGAACTGGTTTGGGTTCAAGAATAGAACAAAAAAGGGAAGAAAAGAAAGCGAGGAAGAAAAGAGGTGGGTGTTTTTAGATGAAAACAGGTGGAAAATGTGTTGAAAGCCACTAAATTTGTATTTTTAAGAGGCAAACGTATCCCTAAATTATTCCAACTGCAGCAAAATCTGTGGATAAAAATATAAGTTAAATTGTCACAACTGTTTATATTAACTCAGCACTTTGTGTTATTTTTTATTTCAGGAGAAGAAAGGGAAGGAATAAGAAGCTCAAGGTATTGGCTAGAGTCTAGCAGAAGAATAACAGTGAAGGGTAGAGGGTTGCTTCTTTATTTTAACATGTTAAATATTTTTCAAGTTACCTTTCCAGGCCTGTTTCTGCTTAGTGCATTTATTTGTTGCATTATATTGGTGTGTTTTCCCTAATTTAGCCACCTGTCCTTCTGCTGGAGATACCCAAATGCATTGCAGAGAGCTTGGGATTTTTGGGGAGAAGCAACAGAAGTGTTGCTGCTGAGTCCAGGATGATGTTTGGGGTTTAAATGGTTAAAAAAAGCACAAGTAGAGGCCTGCTCAGGTTTGGACACGAGGTTTTTTGCTTAGTGATGGTGTTAATTAACCAGAATACCTCTGCCTTGGAAGTATATTTGAATATATCATTATCATGCTCCCTGTGCAGTTGATAAGTATATAAAAATGACACAAACAGGGAGTATTTCTAACACATGAAGAACATAATTTGCAGCAGTACTTGGACATATGATTACACTGGTTTCTTCATATTTTTTTTAGCAAGCAGCTAGAATAGCATCAAGCTCATTTAAAATAGAT